GGGGGTGGGGGTCCTTGGAATGGTCCACCTTGGTTGGCAGGACCAGGAGGGGGAGGTGGTCCCTGGCCTTGAAAAGCTCCGTTAGGGGGAGGAGGACCTTGGAAAGCTCCGCCAGGTCCTTGATTTCCCGGTCCAGGAGGTGGTCCTCCAAATGCACCAGCTCCGCCAGGTCCTTGATTTCCCGGTCCTGGGGGTGGTCCTCCAAATGCACCAGCTCCGCCAGGTCCTTGATTTCCCGGTCCTGGGGGTGGTCCTCCAAATGCACCAGCTCCGCCAGGTCCTTGATTTCCCGGTCCAGGAGGTGGACCTCCAAATGCACCAGCTCCGCCAGGTCCTTGATTTCCTGGTCCAGGAGGTGGACCTCCAAATGCACCACCGGGTCCTTGGTTACCGGGTCCGGGAGGTGGTCCTCCAAATGCACCAGCTCCGCCAGGTCCCTGATTTCCCGGTCCTGGGGGTGGTCCTCCAAATGCACCAGCTCCGCCAGGTCCTTGGTTACCGGGTCCTGGAGGTGGAAGGCCAGGGTTGCCTCCAGGTGGCGGCATTCCAAAGTTCGTTTGAGGTGGGCCTACCTGATTCGTGGGAGTGAAATTTGGGTTACTGGTTGCCAGTCCAGAGAAATCTGGGAAAGGACTGCCATCAACAAACGTCCCAGGCGCATTAGGTGTATTAGGAGGGCCTTGACCGGCGCCACCAGCACCGCCGAAGAAGCCTGGAGGAGGTGCATTCGGTGAAAAACCACCGCCGGCTGGCGGGGCACCATACGCTCCACCGCCAGGACCAGGAAATCCACCCGTCGGACCCCCGAACGCCCCACCGCCATAGGGTGAACCCCCTGGAGCCCCACCATAGCCGGAGGAGGGGGGAGGAGAGCTGTCACTGGCAGGGTTTCGGGTACCTTCCCCAAGATGATTTCCTGGAATGGAGGATAGTAGTGTATTTTTAAACACATTTATTAGTTCATGAGAATTAAATAATAGCATATACATACGAAGATGGCAAAATGCTTTAAGCTTTATGTGCTCATCTTAAGATAGTTTCAAAATGCAAACAATTTTAAAACTAATAAATATTTAAAGACAAAAAGTTCTATTATGATAAATACTGAAAGAGGAATTTAAAAATCAGTTCAATACAGGGGAGGTTGGAGGACCTGGAACATCGGAGGGCAGTGTAATAACGTAAACGTCTCCATTACTTTCCCCAACTTGTTCACAAGGGTTCTAAAAGATACAGTAGGGGACGATATGTGAAGTATAGATACATTTAAGAAATAAAGACACCCGTGGTTGACTTATCGGTGTACACACACTTCTCGGGGCGGGTATTCAATGTTGACATAGATTGAGATGACTTACATGGTTATAACAAAAATTACGGTTTTATTTATTGCACTGGTTTGGAGAAAAATAGGTCACGGTGACTCTATTTAGGACGAACGAAAACATTTTACAGAAGGCAAGGAGCATGATGTAACGTGCTCCTTTTTGTCTTGTGTTTTTTCATTCTGGATTAAGTTATCGTCAGTTGGTAATCCGGTAGCCTGTGAGAAATATCCCACCTGATACAGGCCCGATTCCTATTAACTTGTACAGGTAAGACCAGTCCTATAAGCTGACCCAGTGACGTCACGCTAACCCTAACCTGTACTAATCTAATGAGGGATCAGTTTCTTTTCACCGCGCTGCAGAATATCATTTAATTTACGAGGCAATTAATATAGATAACCAACGCATGAATAAATGAATGTGAAAGTCGAATTTAAGATTTGCTGAATAAATAAATAAATAAATGATTAAATAGATGAATGAATGAGCTAGATATTTATCTAGTATAATAGCTGTATGCTTAAGGGACTGAGACCAAAAGAACACACAACCGTTTTGCCTCTAGATAGCATCAATAATTTCGTTTAAGGTAAGTATAGGGGTCTAACAGAACGTTCTATTAGCCCTGGACGGTGAATCGAATTAAGACGGCTTCAAATAGTAATTAAAGATAAACGCTCTAAATACGAGCCTTTAATGTTCATTGGTATATCCTCGTAAAATTAATAAGATGCTTTTTTTATTACCTATTTGATACCAATAGTTTGACACAGTTTGGCGAAAAATAAATCCATCTGTTATTCATTTCAATAACCAGTATTAAAATGGTGGTTTAAGTGGCTTGCAAATCTTAGCATGTAAATATAACGATTGTAAGATAAAGATTCAGATATGATAAAGAGGTTTGACAATACATTATTATTATTGTCTTAATGAACTGCAGTTAAACCCGGAAGTACAAACTATGGGAATATCTTAAAATGTGGTTACTCAATCGTTAAAGACGGTGAAATGAATTAAGTTTTTACACAACATCAACTGTTAGTTGAGAATCGATCCAAAAAGGTAAAAAGTGGTTCGCAACCCTTCTGGATAACCCCTTTCGCATCTTTCTCTTGGCACAGTGGTTGACTTTATGCTTCACCTATTTAGATGGCTTCTTTAGTTCTCGATATTTTCTGCCTTTGATCTAAATAGTTTTTCCTTTTTTCATCTATTCAACTTTCTGTATCTTTTCGTATTCCCAGGATTATTTCTAATCCCGTCAGTCCTATGCCCTATACGAGTGCATCTCTTTGTAATCTTTCTTTTCCTAGCCTGATGTTACTTAATTCAGTGCTTTTGGCTATTAACATATTATATTGTGACGCAGAAAAATCCTTAAACCGCAAGTAGTTCTCTAAAAATGTTTATATCGTACGCGGTTAGATAATGGCGTTAAATTTTGTGAGCTTTGATTTTTTATCCGATGAACAGACATTTCGTAGATGTTTCGAGGAAACGATGTTCTACTGATCAAAATAAAAAATTACCATGCAAGAATGATAACTAGTTTTAAAAAATGCCCATTTACGTTTATTGAAAATCAATATTTCATACTAAAATAATTTAACGAAATTATTCTTACCTTGTGCTTTGCAAAGCCATACAACCACCACAAGACAACCGCACAGTCGTTTGTATGAAGTCATATTTGATGTTTAGTGTCTGTTTTAAGTTTTCTGCTTTTCTGTTATGATCTTCACGAGCGATCCGCAGTCTGTTCTTTGATTCGTTCTCGGAGTATCTTTCCAATGCCTCTCCAGTTTGGAGAACGGGTTGGAAAAATCTCTTTTCTCTGCCCCAGTTGTCTCGCGCGATTCGATGTTACGTCACCTCTCAAGCCCTTTCTGTTGCCAGTTTTGCCGGGAAAGTTGGTGTTCACCGGTGCCGCTCACGTTCTTAAGTGACCGTCAGACACTACCGCGGCGGTCTTATGCAGGAGTTGTCGTGACAAAACACACTGTCGCTAGCCCATCATGTCGTCATCCACATTTGCATATATTTCAATTTCCTCCTCGCTGGCGACTCGGTTACACGCTTGTAGACCTCAGTTGATAAGAAAATTTAATTCTCGTCATTAAGAGATAAAACACATAATCTTCGCCACGCGATGCTTGAAAGTGATACGTGGAGTTGATTTACATAAATGCATTTATTTCAGTGCCACGGCGCATTCACACGAAACCGTCTGTTTTACATTTAACCGCTGATAGTAACGAGCTATCATTTAACATTTAAGTCCCTTAGAACATAAGTATTAATGCCTTTTAATCTGATCAGAGACACTGGGACATAATTCGGGTGGTTTCTTTTGCACGTGCGGGTTTCAAAATCTACAAAAGTGTGCGTTTCCATGTGTTTTTAGGTGCGTGTGTCCGCGTCAGTCGTAAATCGTAATATATATTTGCTGCTATCTGTTTCACGATAGATGGCGCCATTTATATCGTTTTTTTTCACTCGGCAATTTTAAACTGGTAACAAAATTATCAACACTGGCATCGAGGTAATTATGCAACACAATGCAACCATATCTGCCCTCTGGTCTTGGTTGGAACATTTTTTACAAAGAAAACTGTTTTGTGAAATACACATTTTCATCAGTTTGAATTATCGAGGTTTTATTTGTTTTTCATTGACGTTCATCTCCTTATTGAATTAAAAACTGTGTCGGGCAGGTAGAATAACACAATTGAGCCTGTTGTCATCGTTTGTGAAGAATAAAAACGCAAAACGTACAATGCCGATGTAATATTATTTCTAATAATATACTAGAAAAATAAGACCATTAACATTTGACCAAGGGAAACAGATATGGAAGTCACGAGAATAAATGCAAGTTTAACTCACAAATAACTAAACAAATGACAAAACTAATGATATCTGTACAGGTAATAATATTATGACCTCCCTCGCCTGTTATTAATTCAAATTTCGTTATCAGTGTCTTACAATCCTGGTGATTTCAAGTTCATTTTGGTTTCTTTACACCCAATCTTTCATCTGTAAATCTCTCAGGAATATGACCCAAAATGCCCCCATATCGGTCACATCTTGTGGAGTCTTTTGTTCCAAGTTCATTTTCTCTCTCAGTGTCCCTGAATTGTGTGACTTTCTACAGAGGATTCTTCCATTCGTGCAGAATTATGGGCAATTATTGCTAGAGCTCATCATACCAGACTAACATATTTCTTCCAGATTTTATTTATCATAGACTGACACAGACTTATAATGGTCAAACTGTACTAAAAAAACTTGATTACTGCTGTGATCATGTACATGTAGATGGGCCAAGCTCTATGTTGGTTTGCTAATCTCACAATTCGGTGACATTAGTTAAATAAAAAAATAAAAACTGTCTGTATTTCTTTATGCTGCGGAAAGTTCAGTTCCTCATCTATTTTTTATTCATGCCGATGGGCAGTATTGTCATTGTATCGCCTGGACCCCCTTTTACGCATGCGTCGAACTCGTTACTTCCGCATAGTAAGAAATCAATGGCGGGGCCATTGCAGGGGGGCGTTCCCATGGCATCAAGATTGCGACACACCCTCATACGGTACTTGACACCTTGACAACAAGAGGAGAATTGAGACCAGTTGGTCCATCCCTCTGAAATTAAAAATAATATCGCTTTTATTTTAAACATATTTTGATAGCAAAGAAGTGTTACTAAATATTACAATGGTAGAATAAATCTCCCAGCAAATGTTCGGTCTGGCTATTCATATACTTCAAGATAAAGTCAGCAGTATTTCTATGCGAAATGCAATATTACACAATACTTTTATAGTATTTTGATCTACGACTTTCTGAGCAAAAAATTCCCAGGTTAATATATTCTATTTGCAACCTCGTTTCGTTATCACAAACTCAAAATCACATCATGCAAAATTATGGCTGCCTTAAATATGGCACATCAAAGTCGGCTAAAGCAAATGGGCCTTAAAATTCTCTATTTTTTTTATTCATTAACTCTCCTATGAACATTACAACATCGGCAAACCCACCTGTAGATGGCGGCACAACACCAGATGATGGGCCAAGTAAGAATGGCCTCGTTTGCGGCTGATTCCTCACGAAGCCCGGGGGTAAGAAATACCCTGTGTTTCCTTGGTAACCTGTCTGAGTCTGGCCCCCAGTGTTACTGCTGGAGCCCCCATACATTGGCACGTATGGGCGACCGTAGGGCGGGCTCTGATACCCTGGAGATTGGACCGACCCACCGCCGCCACCATAGTATGAAGTCTGGAAAGGCCGCCCGTTCGGTGTGCCATAGGGAGAGTTATAACCACTGTAGTATGACGGTCCCTGACCATAAGGCCCTTGTGCTGTAAAATAACTTGAGAAACTCAATCTAAATCATTTTTATGACATCAATGACCGTTAAACTGTTCATCCTTGACGTGAGTTATCTCACCAATAATTTCGAATCAATTTTCAGTATTTGGGTTATGCTTAATGTGGGCAAGTTATTGACAAAAATATACCCTTTTTGTTTTCCTTGCTTAATGCGTAGTGGTCATTTTATATAAAAATAGGAAATAACATGACACTCGATATAGATGAGTATTGGGATTGAAGGTAAAGGATCCTCCTCAAATTTAAATGAGAAATGATAGAAATATTTCGTAAAAGTAAAATATGCCCAAAATATTTTCTGAATGCATCACTGTCAGTGATGCATTCAGAAAACCGTACATAAAGTTCACCACAGATTGAGATTAGGTAATTATAAGTATGAGCGTTTTAAAATTATAAATGAATAAGTATGCCCCTTGCTTTTCTTAAACGATGTACATACATGATGTGAGTGAAGATTACAACACGATTTTCATGATTGCACATCGGGCTTTCTAATTACATTAACGACGGGATTAGAAAGTGCTGATTGCTATCGAAGAAACGCCACTGATGACTCGTTTAATTGTAGGTTTTCCATTTACGTCATTACTGTAATGATTGAGATAAGATTTCCACGCCGAGACTTGTACGTATAAGGAGATACAAGTTCAGGCAGGTATAATGTGACAAGAGTCTCCAATGATAGAGAGACCGCTTCCCATTCATTTGTACAGGTAAACCTCGCACTAGATTTTGACCCACTTAGGCCTCATTCAGAAAAGGGGACTGACAGATCCACGGATCAAATATGGCCGACCTACTTGAATGCTTGTTGCATAACCCCCGCAGAAAATTTATTCAGTGTCTAATCCTGAATTAAGTGGCAAGCTTTTTGGTAGTTCGCCACATTTGAACTTCGCATCTGTTAGTCTACTGTTCCGAATGCGCTCTTAGGGGGCCATTCATAATAGGGACTAACTAGTCCGAGGGCCAAATATGGCCGACCCACATGAATACTTCCCCATGAGATATCAATTCAGTGTCTATTAGCGGGATAGACAACAAGTTTTGTAGTTGGTCGCCATATTTGACCTTCGGACTAGTTAGTCCCCTATTCTGAATGGAGCCTTTGTCAGGCTAACCCCAATCATTATAACTAAATGGAGGGCGGACTTTCTGTCTCACGGACCCTCGTTACACTGGTGCCGTATGTACAAGAGAGTCATCTTTAATACAGGTTCCGGTTCGCATTAAGCCTCGATCGTCCTAGTTTTTGGCCAACTTACATCACGCTAACCTTAACCTGTGTGAATCTAATAGAGGGTGAACACTGTTATAGGGATACTCAGGTTCATAGCACAAGGCCAGTGATGAATTAATAATAATAATAATAATAATAATAATAATAATAATAATAATAATAATAATAATATCTAAATATGATGAAAAAAAATACCAACTGAAATTCGTATAACACGTATACTAGGAAGTACTTAGTGGCGATAAAAGTAATGTGGATTAGTCATTCCATAATTGGGCATAAACCAACGCTTATTCATCTAACGATATAAATCTTAATGGTTGAATAGCGCCGACGCTTCCATTTAATAATTATCTGTTGGTTTAAGGTCACAAAACCTTTTCAATGACCAAATGAACGTTTGAGGAAATACGGCATTGGGAAGTAGCCCATTACGTCCCATTAACCCAAAGAAGGGGTTTAGAATTTAAGGCTGATTTTGTTTCGAATTATTTATTCAAATTTTGTATGTTAACTGACCTTAAAATATGCACAAACGTAGACCTGACGTTCACTGAGTAGAGGAAAATTAAGGAAATGGTTCGTTTTAATTAACAAAGGGCTCGTTATACACGTTACCATTAACATTGTTCGAACACGATAAATCCATCAAAATTCAGGCCTACCCAACTACCAGACTCGGCACCTAAGGATCCTGAATTAACCGGTATATCGGACCACACTACCCGTTTTCAAGGTGTGTGTCAGATCGCATTTCGGAGTATCAGCCAGAACACCGACAGGATGAGCCCTGGCATGCTCGGCTGTCACCATGATTGGATAGTAAACGATTGTCGTAAAATCGCTATATGATTTTAAAACCGGGTGCATAAATTTGAAAGCCACCTAGATGAACCTTAAGACTGCCACATTAATCTAATACAATGCAAAAAAGCCCTATCAAAAGTGGTTAAAACATTCAAACCGAATGTCGTAAAGTCCCTATATATCCCCATAGAGACAATAAAATAGAGTACTCTAAAGTAAGACTACAGTTTAAGGTTGTTCAGCCGAGCATGGATGAGCCCGCAGTCGTGCTACAAAATTTGTTCTGGGGTATGATACTCCGAAATGCGATCTGACACACACCTTGAAAACGGGTAGCGTGGTCCGATATACCGGTTAATTCAGGATTCTTAGGTGCCGAGTCTGGTAGTTGGGTAGGCCTGAAATTCATACAATGCGCGTAAGATTCTTATAAATTAATAAAATTTTTAAGTCAAATAAATTATATCACAAAAGCTTGTAGCTCAAAAACCTCGTCATAGTTTAAAATTTTAATAGTTTTTAGTATCGTGTACGTTGGTGATTTAGGAGTTACGTTGGAATTTCAAGTAAAATTAAATGTTGTCTCTGAAACCCTAACACTCATTGTGTGACCCAAACGATTTGGATCTTAAGTGTGGAATGGCGCGGCAGATTCCATTTAAGAAATAAATATCTCACACCATCAGCCGTTGATTTCAGGTAACACAGTTTATCAATTGACCAATTGAAAGTTGAAGGAAGTACGATAATAATTTAGGTGGGAAAATAGACACCTAATTAATCAGAGGCCGGAGGTCAACCATCATCACCGATTGTTTTCCCATGCAGAGTTCTTCATTCAAATGTTTGGTGTAACCCTGTTGTAAGTGTGAACATTTTTAGATCTTCACGGGAAAATTAAGGATATTGTTCAATCTAATTTAGATAGAATACGTGTTACACGCGATCATGGTTTGCACACGGTTTGTGCAATTTATAAATGTTAATTAATAAACAGAACTAGATCTTCAACCAGATCCTCACGGAGAAAAGGAAAATCTTTGATTCATGAAAATTGAAATGTTGAGGTGTGATGTCAAAAGGAATTTTTTTAGGGAAATAATTAACGACATAACATTAATGCCAAGCGAACTTATTCTTGGTATGCATCTCTACACAAGACTACATCAAACTCAGCAAGGAAAGGCTGTTAGATACAAATTTTAGTCACGGACACGGAATAAATAGCCCAAAGCGTAGTAAAGTGGCCCCTACCTTGTGTTCCTACGACAACGAGCAAAAAAGCTGCTCCTATTCCGAAAAGTCGAGACGCCATCCTTTCTGCTTTTATTTCACAATTTCCAGTGCAGTTATGAGTCAAGAATTTCAAAGATTGGTTTATATACGTGCTTTTGATGGCGTCATGGTCAACATTATCGCCGAAAGGTCCATATATCACGAACGAAACGTGAACAACAATATTGTCATGCATAACGGAAGATAAGGCTGAAAACAACCAAGTGTAACAGAATAAAGGAGTGTGGAATTTTGACAAGAGAGTCTACCACAATTAAAAACATTTCCGAGAGTCGTTATTTATGTATTCTTATTATTTATTTTTACTTTTCTATCATCATTCTGCCGCGATTCAATCTAAGAAGAATGAAAGAGATAAAGAAAAAGAAAAAAGTTATACTTCGATGAATTAACGAATAATATTACCTGAGGTTGCACCGACGCACCACCGTCCGGAATGTATTAATCGAGTGTTCCTTTATAATAGGCCTACGACATCTGAACGCAGGTTTCATTAATACTACGTAACTACGCATAGCACTATGAAATCATTCTTCCATCGACGCTGTGTCCGTGAGCAAGGCCAGAATTGATACGTTATGATAACGTTATTTTAATAACGTACATAAATACAGAAATTAATTTTTTATCTATGTAAATCTATAGAATTATGACCGCAGCATGTAGAGAAGCTCATTATTACCCGGGGTATTTTTGCTTTCAGACATTCAAAAGCATGCTTCTTGAAGCGCGTAGCATAAGATATATTGTAATGTTCTGTATAATAAAACTTGACGAGGTGACTAGTTACTATATACGCATACATGTATAATACGCAATCGCGTGCTCGTCAATGCAGCTGTGTTGTAATTCACGTATCAAATAGTTTTATAAAATAACAATTAGATGTATTTCGTTATTTATTATAGCAATTTATCCCCTTAAAATAAGGTGTTATCATCTGATTGACTACCTTTTTTCGACACTTGGCTATTTATAGACATTTGACGTCATCTCTGCACATCTGAAGACACGCGTGACAACTAAGTGTTTCCTAATCTAGATTGTACGGCCTTGTGTGTGTTATCTTATACAATTATACATGCAGGCACCACAAGTGCACTACCGGCGCACACTGCGACATCTCAGCTGAGCTACTTCGCAAGTGATAGGTAAGCGATCTCGTTCACGTCTTCCTGTGCGCCCACTTGACGCACAGCGGTACAAGCATGACCTAACCCTCGTTCCAACGAGGACGACTGCGGACAAGTAGCTGAAAAAAACGCTTCGTTAGTCTGGTAGCTTAGCTTTTAACTGAAAGAATACGATGGTCTTAGTAGTTAGGCAGCCTGGTGAGCCTACCCCTTGCTATAAAAGAGTCATTGTCTTTAGAGCTATCTGCTACTCAAAGAGTTGTGCTGCCAGAGCATTCACGCCGTCTTCTCTGTCGCATTTCCATGCAGCGCATTGCACTAATTAATACCTTTTCTCATCTTTTTCTTTGTCGTTTTTTTTTTCTTCTCATCGATAATGGCCCGTAAAGGAATTATGCTTATCGTACGCTTGTTTGGAAAACGGGCAAAAGGAAGACCAAGAACAGCATGGAAGGACAACATAAAAGAATGGACCAATCAAAAATAAAGTACAAGCACACGAATGGCACAAGATCGAGATATCCATGCCATGGGGACCCATGGCAGTTAACCTGGGACCCGTAACTCTGCTTAGAGTGGATGGCACCAAATGATGATGATGATGACTTGTTTGACACGCACTGTTCTCTATTCATTTATATGGAGGCTAAATACTCTCTTCTTACAGAGTAACAGATTCAAGAGTCTGTTTCACGTAAAAAAAAATCTGAAGTTCTTGGACCAAGCTTACCCTGATAAAATAGGGATGGCCGATTTTGCAAAATTGGGCCAAAAGCTTTTAGGAATATTAATGATTAGTCAACAATAATTTTGCATGACATCCCTAAATGGGCCGTTGTTATCGGTGACAGCATAAAGTTTAGTCAGGTAAGTTTAGCAGTCTTTAAGATTTGTCTACATGTAGTAATGCAACTTCGTCATCGACGTGTAAGGCTCTATTCCCATAGATTTTAGATCGATCTATCCCCGCGGGGAGTCTCACTAGATTACTTTCAGATAATCCGACTTAAATGTCCGACCCGCCTACTACAAGCTGTAAGGGGGTAATAAACTTTCGTGTCCGCCCGGCTGACAGCTATTTAGCGTGAACCCCCAGGGAGTTAGGTCGATCTAAAGTAGGTCGATCTAATCTATGGAAATGGGGTGTAAGGTTTCAGCTCGAGAATTTGTAAAGCATGCCCAGTTGTTGCTTCACTCATTTCTCTGGTGTATTTGTTTCTTCAACACATGCTTTATCATTCATAGATATTTGATTCTGGTATTCTTGATAGAACCCTTCGGTGGATATTATGAGTCCCTGGCGTATTCGCCTTCGACATCGTTCTATGATAATTACTTAAACATCGACAGAAACGGTCTTTATTTTATTGATATTCAATCACAATTGCTTTGCAAGTCTTTTTTTTTTTTTTTTTTTTTTTTTTTTTTTTTTTTTTTTTTTTTTTTTTTTTTTTTTTTTTTTTTTTTTTTTTTGCCACTGAAAAGTCTATATGTCGCTTATAAAATGCCCTCAGCCTTTCTACTAGGAGCTCCCTCGTGGGTATTGTATGTATGTAAAATTCTATTTCTTAGTCGTGGATATGTCTAGCCACTCTCAAATTACGTCAATTTTAGGCAATAATTTCTCATAAAAAGTCATAATATGTGTCATTTCAATTGCGATGTCAAACAAAATTAGAAATCACTTGAAATTATGAAACCTTTTATCAATGGCTCATGATTTTTGTACTGGTATTAAAACTGGATAAAATATACTTTTACAAAACCACTAAATTTGCCACACGAGGGGAAAAAAAGCCCCCCGGGCCCTAAAAGCTCTTAGTTGTGGCAATCTATACTCCCGAACACTCCGCTGAGCATGCAATTGTTCACTTTGTTTCAGTAAAATTTGTGATTATTTTGGTTATTCGAGACATTGCGCTGCATAACAATATTCTACTTTTCACAAATGCACACTATAGTAGGTCGTACATGTACGTGTACACTAGGCGTTCTTTCCACGTCTGCTCCCTTGTCAAATATATGAAGGATCACTCTAGAGAGGTCATATCTTGAATAAACAGAGACCGTGCCTTACGGCTCATTCCGTGTGACGCGTGGTAATCCCTTTAACTGATTGCATTCAGCGAGAGTCCACACGGAGTTGGATCGATCTACGTAGAGCGATAGTTTCATTGGGAGCGAGCCCTAACACTTGTTCATAGCCATATACAAACAGAAAAAGTGAACACGTTCTGCCCCCCCCCCCTCCCACCCCTCCATAAGCGTCTCACTTGTTTTTGATACGTGTACATTTTGTCATTCTGTCCCGTCACCCACCGGTCGTAAAACCAGGGATCCGGTTTGAACGGATGCAACTACCAGATCCAATATCTGAAGAAAGGGGTGGGATATAAATATAATAGTTATCTTCGTCCATTGATGCGGAGACATTGTTTTTAATCGTACGTAGCGCTTTTTTTGTAGTAGGCTCATCACATGAAACATGGTCTTTTCGGACTAAATAAGTGAGTATTTTCTCCCCTTTTTGGGACTTGATTTGATCAGAATCGGTCACAGAGTTCTGGAAAAAAACGGCAAGAGCTTCATTCGTGTGTCAGGACTACGCGAGGCGTTTAATTTCTCCCACGAATTCCTTGAGCTGTTTTCCCCATGCCTTTATGGTAGGGATGTCTTTAGAAATGAACCCGTAGTGCCGGGATTTGGCGTCCACAAACATCACACCCCTCTCTGAAAATAAAGAGACTAAATAGATTAATTTCATTTGAATTATACGCCGAGGTAGATGTAAGTTTGAGAAGAAGACTAGTTAGTAAGCGAATCAATGACAAAAACTTGTGCAATAGGTGAGGTTTTTGAACTATGCACGAAATTACCGTGCTCAAAATGTAATATTAAAACAAACTTTCTTGATTTTTTAAATAGCGCTTCGACCTAAACATTAAAAAAAAAATTACAGCAGCTACGTTACGTTATAGTAGACATTTATCAATGTAATCGATAAAATCATTTGAAATATAGCAGTGCTGAGGGAATAAATTCTTTGGGGATCTCTTTTAAATGTTTGTGTCACGCTAGGGGGCGCCAGTTAAAACACTCTCGGACTTGCAATGTGTTGGTCACTTAATCTATGAACTCCCTGATCGTCAGGTGTAACCATACGCTCTACTTCCGGGATTTAGCCCAAAATCAGGTTTATTAAATTCGGCGCTACACGTGACTATATGAACCCGATATTATACTGCATCACTTAACCGTGATAACTGTTAGCGTTTAAGGTGAAAGTACATTAACACTAGTGTTGGGCACCTAAAGAAAAAAAAAAACATAAGGCCCCATTCCCAAACCTAGATCGATATAGCAGGATCGACCCATCTTCGAGGGGATTCTCACTAAATTGCAATCAGATTAAGCAGCTTAGATGTCTGGCACGCCTATGTAAGCTGTCAAACGCTAGTTAATTACCCCCTAACAGTTTCAGTAGGCGTGACAGACATCAGAGTCGCTTACGCTGAATGTAATTAAGCGAGAAACCCGTTGGAGATGGGTCGATCCTG